TTGGATTTCAAATATACATAATGTCATATTTGCAACATATATTTCAAAATATTGCAAAAACTGGCCATTTCACCCACTTTTTGAAAATAGTTATATCAATTTCTCAGTGAATATAGCAAATATATGTTGGTGCATTCAAATCAAATAGTCTTATTAAACACTTATATTAATTAAAATGAGAGTTTGGCCACCTAATATATTAAGAATAGAAAGATAAGAGATTTAAATTTAGGTTACTGCAAAAAATAAATAAATAAATAAAAATAATAGCATATGTTTCGCCTGATTTTTGTTGTTCATTCAATTTTTATTTAACATTTTCCCTCAACATTAATTTGGGTCTACTCATTTTAATGTTTTTTTTTTTGTTAGAGTATTTTCAGTTTTGGATTTGCTATGGACTAATCCAATGTATATGAAGTTTGAACAGATATATTATGGATATATAACAGATATATTTTCTAAAGCATCCTATAGAAAATCTTAATTTAAATGAAGGTTCTGTGAGGGGTTAACTCATTTATGCTGAGCGCAGTATGCTCTAATTATAATAGCTCTTATTTTTTATACAACAGTCTGATTCTCAAATCTGATTGGTTGATAGCCGTGGGCTATTCTGCAATAACATCACTCAAACCGCCTCCTCACCCTTGTGTATTACTCCATCCACACAGAGTGACAGCAGTTGAATAAACTCACTATAGTTTGACAAATATTGCAGCTGTTGGACAACATAATGTACTTTTGAGGCCTTTTGGGTGATAATGTAGTTGTTTAGATTGCATATTTATAAAGTAATTTTAAATTTTTTTAATTTCGGAGATACAGCGCATCGGCATCCATCAGCCTATCATACTAAGCAGAGAAAAAACGGTTGACTTTGTCCATCGACAATATGGCAACAGAGACTGAATATTAAGCCCTTAGAGGCGAAAAGAAAAGGCATATTTTCAAACTACAGCTAATCAAAACTTGATAAAATTGATAAGTCGATCTCCTTATTTTTTGTTGCAGTGCTGTATTTATACCAAAGTAGTTGTAGTGTATTAAGTGTGAGATGGGACTCACATATCAGGAATGTATGTATTTTGTGTTGGCCAGTCTTTGTATAACTCTTTTGGTTGGCCGTCTGTTTGTTTATAATGAGTCTTCTCTTTTCGTTACTGCAGACTAGTCCAGTAAACAGAAAGAAAGAAAAAATTCCTGAAATGTGTTTATTGCTTTTTCTTATTGCAAACACAACAGTAATCTGCTAGTGATTGCTTTGCTTTGGCTTTTTTTGGGGTTAATTATTGAGATCTCCTGATTACAACAGAGAAATACAGGGAAATCTCTGTAGACTGACAGCATGTGTTTAGCCTTATCATCTTAAAATGTGAGCAGAATCACCTGTTTTGTCTTAATTTTAGACATCACGCTAGAGAATCATTCAAATAGCTGTAAATTAACAATGGTGAATGAGTAACGGTTTCTGCTGTTCTGACATCAGCTGCCGATGTGAATAAATAGTGGAAGAAAGTAGTTCCTCAAATAAAAGGATTTTTAGACTCTCGATGTTTGATTTGCTTTTTTATATACACGATTATGCCATCGAACTGTTTTATAAACGCGATATCACACGAGTAGCAATGCGATGTGGCTGTATATCGTCACTGGTGGGACACTAAGGCACTCAAAGCACGCTGATATACTCATGTGATATTGCTCATATATATGTGCTTGTATATTGCCTTGTTTTTTTAAATTCCAATGGTTGAATAAATAAAAAATAAAACAAAACATAGATTAAAATATATGTTGTTTATATGACATTTAATTTATATTCATGAAATACATATATATGAACTTGTATTTCATTTGCATATATTTCCAGGAATCAGATTTCAATATGGA